AAAAACACTTTGATGTTATTAAAAATTTAAGTTTATTTAAAATTTTATTCTAAATTAAAGTTTTCGAGCGTGTGTATCTCAGAAAAATCATGGTAAAAATAGGAAAATTAAATGGCAAAAGGGTATTATTTGTTGAATTAATTGATTGGCCTGACACGGGAATTTGTCGGAAAATAATGCGATTGGCCCCAGAGAACTCAATCTTATTTTCTTAGAAATCCCTCTTTCATTGGAAAGAGATCCCATTAATCCTCTTTGCCAGGCTAGGATATCTCGGACTCTGGAAAGATCAAGGCCTGGGTAGGGGTTTTATTCGACTTTGCGGCCAGTGGAAGATAACTCTCCCAAGGCGTTCTCCCTATCTTCCTTCTGGCACACCACTTTCATCCGCGCCCATTCGAAAAATAAAACGGGATAAGAAAAGAGGATATATCTCAGTTGAGAAAAAAAAAAATGTCGGAAAACCCGTGGAGCCCTCCACACGACATTACGATTTCCCATTACATCAGCTATTGGATCTCGATGGGACTAGACGCAGCTGGAATTTTCCCTCACGTCACAGCACATTTTCTCTTCCTTTTAAATTCCACTGTTTCATCGCATCGCGTTATAAATAAAAATTACTGAAAATTTATATAATTTTTCCATCAATCCCCCGTAATTACTTTCAATTATACAGAATAATTATTATTTCATAGATTTTTGTACATCATAATAAATATTATCTGAATTATCAATTATTCAATATTAATAATTCGTATTATTATTATAAGTAATTATAATGAATTAATTAATTTCTATCGACTTACTGAATTTAAATTTGAATCTGTCACTTGGCAGTGGAAAATTGACGAGGCAGGTTGACCCTTGGTCCTCAAGGGTCGGAATATTTAAAGTCCTGAGTCGATAATCGCATCGACGTAATTGCATCAGCGAGCACCGACTCGAATCGTCGAAACAATCGATCATCTCTCCTCTTATTTCCTCTTCATCTCGCTGGGACCACTTCTTCATATTTCTTATTCTCCTCCTTACTGTGCCCTCCACCTCTTTCCGATTTCACGGCTGTGCTCACCGGGGAAAATTTATGACCGAATCGAGAGAGTTGTATGGAAATTTCTTATTGCTCTCTGTACTGGTATTTATATACGAGTTGAGTGATATATTGTCTACATATTCGCCAATTTGCAAATGATTTTTTTTATTTATTCAGTCACCACGAGACGCCGAATTCGTCTCCGATTTCATCAGATATTCAAAAAAATCAACAGATTTCAATAAAAAAAACAATTATTTATTTACAAATCAATTAATCAAATATTTAAATACCATTTTCGTTACAGATGTATATTTTTAAAGATTAACAAAACGAAAATTAACGAAAAATTAATTAATTATTCAATCATTAATTACAATAACTGATACTATAATAAATTATAACAAATTATATTTTGACTGAATGAAAACAGCACACAGAACAATTTATTGAATATATTATTATAAATTTTAATGATCAAAGTCTGCCCCAAATTTTCAAAAATATTTAAAAAAAAATTAAAAAACATTACGTGATTAAAATTATCAAGAAACAGGAATAGTATAGGTAAAATAATGATTATTAGTGAGTTGATAGTAGAAATAGTGAACGAGTCAGAAATAATATTCGTTAGCAGATCGTCTTGCGATTTCCCAGCTGAGCGATCCATTAAATATGTACCATAATGGGGTGCCTTGGACCCCAGCCCATGGGGTTTGCGTCTGGCATAACTGTATCGTAGAAATAAAAGTGGAGAAATCAAGAGGATCTCTGGAAGGGGATGGAGTTGAGTCGAAAAGCCCAACTTCCCCGTGGCAGGGTCTCGTGATACCCTGACGATCGACTCCGTCTACGTGACTCGAATAGATATCGATATATTCGAGTACCTCCAGCTGGTTTGCCCTCTGGTTGCAACCCCCTATTCGACTATTCGCCCGATTTATCGTTGGCATTACATCAGGGTTCATCTTTCCACTTGAATCACGCCTCGTGTGAGGTATGCAAGTGCTCAACAATAAGAATATTCGCACGTGAAAACGCGTATCGAGGTATCGGTGTCATTTCACGTATCAGCAGCTCGTGATAAAGAGAGATATTTTATGTCGAGTGAAAAAATACGCGTGAGGAATCGAGAGAATTTTATTTCATCGCTGCGAACAGAAAGGGCAACAGTTGATTTAGTTAACGAATCATTTTGAGAATATCTCTGAGTCTGAGAGAGATCGGGGATTGTTCTGAGAATCTTGTTTGATGAAGACCTAGATTTCTGGTGGATTGGAAGTTTAGAGGATCGACGGTGTGAAATAATTATAGAGAGTCTCCATCATATATGAATGCTAATTTATTCGCGGGGTCGAACCACGCGTAGACAATTCTGCAAACACTTTGTCTCTGGGTGATCGTACTGAATTAAATTGATTGTCTATTTGATTTGCACTGTTGAGTCACTGATTGAATTGTTAAACAATAAAGTGATTTTCTTTTACTGGAATTTATATTGCAGAGATAATAGACGTTGATGTACTGAACGCGTCTATAGACTCTACGGGATACTCCATTTTTGAGTGTACTATATCGAATACAGAGATGAATTTTATCCTGAAGGTACTATACGACTGTTCGCTTGATACTAATTCGCGTTGATTTTCGGTGATTTTACTAGACCTGCCTGTTGACCCGGAAAGGACCGATGATTTTCGAAATCAGCTGAACTCATCGGCCTTGATCCTTGAAAATTGTTTAAAGTTTCAAACGAATCTGTTTTGCAAAGTGGAGTGAAACCTGCAGAAAAGATTTCCTGGAAAACTAGACGCGGCGAATTAATCATCGGATAATTCCACGGATTTTTCCGTTTCAATTAAATTAGAAATTTCTTTCTGGAAAATTCAGAAAAAAAATTTCAACAATCTCCGATCACGTGAGATCTGTTGGCTCTACCCTGAAAAATCCTCGAGTGAATTAATTGAAGTGACGGCATGATTTGGAAATATCCGGATTTTCCATGCGAGTTTTCCGATAACTGAATGCTAGAGACCGTCGGATAATCGAATATAGCGACTACCAGAGGCAAATCCTCGAGGGTTTGTAATCGAGTGGCATTAAGTGCAGATATGCCTCAACAAATTGGACGATATGAAAGCCAAGTGGTGAAAAAACCCCCGTAAATTGAGTGGTATTCGCAAGATGAGATTTCAGTGTCTCTTATTTAGTTGCCATGGATTCAAGTGCCTGGAGGCTTTCAGGATAATAAACTGGATGGTATGATGGTGATGGTCTGTAGTCCCCCAGTCGATGGGACATTCCTCTACTCCTGTGTCTACAGTAAATTGCGAGAATTACGAATGCCAGGATTTTCAGTCTCTCTTTAGGGGAAACTACCGACATTCTGTTAATCGTCAAAACGAGAAGCGAATTTTGGGGGAAAAGCACGTTTGCTGTGCATCGCCAGTGGCAATCTCTAATGATTTCGAGTTTACTCCTTCACCCAACGGATTTCACTGAATTTATTCCACCGCTCACTCCGTTGAATTGACGCTCTGAAAATAAATCATAGAAAAAATTACTTTTCACTTTCAATATTTCACTGGGATATTATAATTACTACAATGACAACTGCATTTGTTGCAACAACATTTAAGTGTAATTTGTGAGATTAAATTAATTTTTGTGTAAAAATTTCTCTTCATTCGCATCTCTGGTTTAAAAAAGTCAATAGAAAATGGAACTTCTGTATTTATCCAAACAATAAGTGCTTTCCCAGGGACGGCAAGACGATTTCCCAGGGGAATAAGATCGGAAAATGGAGGGTATTTTATGTGTGGACGCACAGTCGAGAGAAAAAAAAAACGAGATGAAAATACGTAAAAGACTGATTTTCCATGAGGGAAAAATGAGGATTTTCCCTCAGCAGAAAAATCAATTAACGCAGTGTAAACACACGTTGAAAAAATTGGATTTTTGATTTTCGTTGTTTTTTTTTTTTATCCACCACCCCCATTCGGGCGTAACAGTGAAAAAGTGCAAATAGGGGAGAGGGAAATTGAAGTGGAGTGAGATGCAGAGAGGATCTGAGAATGAGACAGAAAGAGGGACTTTTTCACCGTCGGATATTCTGGATCAACGCTTTGGCTTTTAAAGCTCGATTATCTCACTCTCTACTTCGTGCACCCTCCACCACCCACCACCCACCGCCCATCGGACTTTTCCTCTCTTGCGTTAAATTAGGTTTACGCTGGGGTCTCCGAAGATGGCTAGAACGATGACAAGGAGGGACGATTGCCCGGAGGGTAAACTGAGATTTTAACTGAACCCCTCATCCTCACGAAAATAGACTAGTTCTCCAAGAATTTTCCCATGTTTTTCCACTTTAAAACGTTTTCACCGGAAAAAAATATTTTCCTCTTCATGTTTATTACCCCGAATTTTTTATTTCAATGAAATGAAAAAATTTTGTAAAACAATATAAATATATTATAATTATAATAAAAGATCTCTCTGCTAAATGTGAAATTTCCGTGAGAGAATATTTTCTATTTTTCCTAGGACATGAGGCGAAAAAATGTTGGGAATTGAATGAACAATCGAATGAGGAGAGAAAAAGGAAAATAAATTCCATGAAATACGTCTGATTTAGTTTATTCTGTGTTTTCAGGACCTCCCGGTGAGCCAGGACCTCCTGGGAAAAGAGGGAAAAAGGGAAAGAAGGGCGACCCTGGGGAGCCCGGTGCACAGGTGAGTCTCCACCATTCAATCTCAATTGGCGATTCTCTGTGTTGGAATGTACTGAGGGAGAATTGGGTAGTTTTTATGGGCTGTGATGATGCCTGATCAGAGGCAGCACGAATGAAGGCATGGGGAATATTGCTTCAACCCTCTGGCATTATTTATTTATTTATTTATGGCACGTAGACACGGTGAATGGGGGGTGTTTATGTCACCCCCGCGGTGTCAATAACATCAAAGAGACGAGAATAAATGACATCTCGACACTATGAGTTTGACTTTCCGCTTCTATTACAGCGAATATATAAAGGGATAAATAATCATTTTCTTTTTCGGGGCTTGGAATGCGCCAAATAAGCTAAAATAATTCCAATAATTTTTCCCCCCTTTTTTAATTACTTTTGACTCATTTTTCCAGGGTGTAGCGGGGACCGCGGGCAAGAATGGTTTTCCGGTATTTTGTTATTATTTTGTTTATTAAAACACTTCATTCATCTCTTTCTCTCTATCTCGACCCCATTCATACTCTCATTAATTTATCTCATTACTCCAACAAAATTTAATTTACGATTTGAATCGCCAACATGGGCTTTGCGAGGTGCTAGGATTTATTTTTCTACTTCGCTTTATTCATGATTTAAAGTTGGCGCGCAATTTATCCAGCTGCGATGAGAGGACGGAATAAAATGGATATCGGGATGATTATAAATTTTGAGGTATTGGGGTGGGGGTGGTCATTAGCAGGCACTTAATTCAATCAATCGTAACATTCCAGGGTGCCAAAGGTGAAAAAGGCGAGTCCGGTGTTACGGTAAGACTTTCTAAAGCGAAAAACAAAAAAAATTTATTCATTGTTCAATGTGTCAGAGATTGTAGTGACGATTGTTACGCGTGACGGTAATTAATAGGTACACAGGGGACACCTACGGTCATACACCAACGCCAGAGGCTACTCTCTCATATTTTAAATAATAAAAAAATCAGTTTTTTAATAAAAAAAAATTTTTTTCTAAATTAAAAAAAAAATAATATTAAAAAAATTAAAAAAAAAAGAAATAAATTATTGACATCAATCGAGGTAATTAATCGGTACACAGGGGACACCTACGATCATACACCAACGCCAGGGCTACTCTCTCATATTTTAAATTATAATATTTTTTTTTAATAAAAAAAAATTAAAAATTAAAAAAATTTAAAAAAATTAAAATATTTAAAAAATCAAAAAAAAATAAAGAAATAAATTATGGACATCAATCGAGGCTACGAAGACTTCAATGAGTTATCAATTCCGCTAATTTATTTTACTGTCGTATTTTACTCTTCATCTAAATTCATTAAATTAATTTTTTCTATTAAAAAGGAATATATGTTATTTCAACAAAAAATTATTGTTTTATCCCGAGTTTCAATACAATTTACAGTTGAAAAATAGAATGCAATATTTTTTATTTCGGAAACTATTGCCGTGAGGTGAAAACCGTAGAGTAATTTTCTCTAGAGAATTAAATTTGTAACAAAAAAGATTCTCGACGTTTTCCCCTGGAGTCAATAGTTTCGTGGATAAACCGACGATTGACGAGCGTAAAAATAGGATTTATCTGATTTAACCATTAGTAACGGAATTTCATGTAAATTCTTTTGAAATTAGCCGAGGTAAAATGAATATCAGTGAATTGCGCAGCCCGTCCAATAATTCCGACAAACTCGAAAACGAAGGGTGAAACAATGCATAAAATAAAGAATCTTCGTAATCCAGTAGTTTGACGTTGGCATGCTACGGCAAACGCAACCACTAATGTAATTTTCCCGTTCTCCAAGCGAATCACGCAATACGGAATTCTACCCTCAAATATATAGTAAACCGAGAGTCCAGCCAAACTCCCTGTCTTTCATTTGCTTTCCCGTTATATGCATTACGTGTTTGTAGACCAACTTTACCCCGACTATTCCCGTATGTGTAGATTTCCAACTGGTCACCTCGTTTTCGTGTTCGATTCTGCGGTCAGTCGAAAACTGGATTCAGGGTAATCCTGTAAACGTTTCATTTGACCCCTCACGAGACTCAGAAGCCGTAATCCATGAAATTCTAGACCAAAATCATCAGGGAATTGTAGTTACCGGTTGAATTCTAGTTGTTGATGTTGTCAGCGGGGAATTTCCAAAATAGATGAGGTAATTGTAGAAAATACTGTCAATAGAGTCAATCCCTGAAACACAAACAGAAAATAAAACATTATGATATCAATCGATTGCTGGGTAGATCACTTATGCTAGGCGTGCAACTAAAAATCGACTCGACATCTCAACCGATCCAATTACAGTCGAAGAGTGCTCTCCCTTCTGTGAAATACTGCAGTGAGAAAATACAATACCAACCGATATTTTCAAAGTTTTCGGTGTCACGTGTTTCGATATTGAATTTGGGCGCCACATGCCGCGAAGTGGTTTTAGTTTAATACCTCAATTTCTGTATTCTTCACAGTTTGTTCCTCTCCATCACCCGAGAATGATATATCGGGGCTGGATATTTTCCGATACTTCCCTCATTTCACAAAATCCATACTTTCCTTCCATCTGGATGTTCCGAGTCCGGAAAGCCTGAGTATTTTATTAACACGATTTCCTCGTTTGCAGGGGCCAATCGGATTGGATGGACCCAAGGGAGATAAGGTAAAGCTATTTTACTTGGAAATACCAATAAATTTTCATCGAGAAAACCTCCAAAAATTGAAGACAACCAATTACTCAAAAATATAAATATTATATTAATTATAATATACCAGTTATTATCAAATGAATTGCATATTCCTTATCGTGAAAGTAGAAACACAAAAATGAAGTTCGCCCGAGTCGAAATATCTCGAACCGCGTAGGACTAATTCCTCATTGGTTAACTCGAACCGCCAAATTCAAATTCGGCGCGCAGAGTGCGCAGTAGATCTCATTTATTTTCCTTATTATAAAAGTAGAAACACAAAAATGAAGTTCGCCCGAGTCGAAATATCTCGAACCGCGTAAGACTAATTTCTCATTGGTCAACTCAAACCGCCAAATTCAAATTCGGCGCACGAACTGCGCAGTGGTCTCGTTTATTTAAAAAATCGACCAAACGATAAATTTTTCTGTGTAATTCAGCGCATGTTGGAATCGCAGAATGTGCAATTGTGCAGTCATCCTTGATAATCTTTTTACTTTCCTAATTAATTTCAAATTGCTTGCAGGGTCTAGCCGGTGAGAAAGGACAGAAGGGGGAGCTTGGAAGTCCAGGCTTTGACGTCTTCTCGGCTGTAAAGGTATCTACCATAAACAATGGGGACTCTATCAGAAAAAAAATACTACTATTCGGAAGAACGTATCATACGGTACACTGGCTCACCGATTATTATTCATTGCGTGTTGTTGTCATGTCCACTGTATTACAAATTATCTATAAATTATTTGAACAGAGTAATCTCAATCTTCAATAAATTCCCAAGAAGTCGCTTACAATAATAAACATTTCCTTAAAAAATTCAATGAATTCGACAGATTTTTTCCAAATTTTCCAAATATTTTGCAAAATGAAACCTCAAATTATCGTCAATAAAAATATTAAAAAATTAAAATTAAAAAAAAATTAAAAATTGTTCCAAATGAAACACTCGACAATATTTCAACGTACTATTTTATCTGATGATATTTTCACAATTAATATTACTTTGGGTAATTTGTAAACGCGAAAAAATCGAGAGATTCCTCTGTTCAATGCAAAATCATTGTTTAAACACAACAATACATGCTAAAAATGGAGTATTGCCATAAAAGTAAATAAAAATCAATGTGTTCGCCCTGCGGGTCAATGCACAGGGATTGGGGTTAAAGAGATCTGTGACAACACTACGCGGTGGAACCCTTGGCTACGCCGAAATCGTCGCCCTGAAGGTAACTGGGCGCCTCAAAATCGTTATTTCAATTTCTTTTGTTCTCTAGTTGAATGCGTATAAATAGCTATTGAACGTTATCGTTCGCCTACATGTGTATCAGAATACCTTGAGGTTGCTTGCGGTGTAGCTGTTATAGAAAAGAGTTGAATTATCATTTGGAATGCAAGATAAAGTGGTATTAAAGTTTATTATTTCCCCAGAATATTGTCCAAGTAATGAGATCCCCTGACACTTTCCCCCAAATTTCCCAGACATGAAATTGAATCAATCCAAGATCCCGAGATTATTTTCTCACCAGTAGTGAACCTTCTAGGGCCTCCAGGAACGTGGCCACAATATCTCAGCGCAGACCATCATCCAGCTGAAAGTAAGTCCCTCAAGTACCCGAAGAGTACCTGAAATGTGACAATATCTGTCACGAATAATCCTGAATTTAACAGCTTGACTAACTCATCATCTAAGTCGACTGTGATTTCTTCTAACATGCAAACACCCGCGTACAAAATCCCGATAAAATCTAATTACCGTCGAGTCTAATAATCACTGGAGTAAGGGCCATTCCCACCACCAGAAAGTTCTCATCCACTAACAATCTCATTACTCGTCCTCCACGATTTTTCTCTCTTCATTTATTTTCACCGGTAATTGGTATTCTGTAGCCTATACTGATGCATTTTCAATGAACTCATCGCATGATCGATTCAACCTTCGTGTACAACATACTAGACCCAGTGGAAGTATCGTCTGTTTTATTAAAAGAATATTTCCAGGAATAATACAGGGACTACCCCTGGGTGAACAACCCCTTGAGTAAATACCACGTACAGACTCAGTGGTCTATGGATTTGATGCTTCCACAATAGTTATTGTTATTTCAGTCTAAATAATGTGGACATGTCTTCATGTCTCCGTGCATGACTCTTCGTAGAACAATTCAATGCTAACAAGCATCACAAAATCATTCTCTACTTATTACCATCCGATTTTATTACGTTACATTTTATTGCAACAAATTATCACCCGGACAATTAATTACAGCATCAACTCATCGCACCACTAATTAATATAATTTAAAAAAAGAAGAAAAAAGATCTTGATGAATTTTTTTATTTATTTCATCACAGCATGTCCGCCTGTGAATTTCAGTCACTAGTTTTTTTATTTCGTTTATTTGTTATCGTTATTTGTTATTGTTATGTAATTTCTTGTTGAACTAAAGCTATTGTTCCTTCATTCAGAATGGGGATTTAAAAAATGATAATTGGATAATGTAATTATGTCCGGATAAATTCTAGTTGTGATAAAAGGAGTCGTAATTAATTATGAGGTAATGTGTAGAGGATACGATCCAGAAAACTAGCTTTTATATCAGTGCATCATTTACTATGATTGATTTATGACGAGTGCACTATCTTAACGAATGCTTGATAATCTGGAGAGAATCTGTTGTGATTGATTGGATGGGTGTTGTACAGATGACTTTTGAGATTGATCGGGTGGAAATTGAGATTCGGTTGAATTTAGGGCGAGCCAGGGGAACCAGGACCACCCGGACCCCCTGGACCACAAGGTATTGAAGGAATGGCAGGACAGGATGGCAGGCAGGGAGTACCTGGAGAAGTTGGACCTGCCGGGGAGCAGGGGATCGCTGGACCCGCTGGACCCTCTGGACCAGTTGGACCTCCAGGACTTCAAGGAATCAAAGTGAGTTTAGATTAAATTAATTCAATAATCAAATTAAATTAATCCGTCAATTTTCTATCAACTGCTCCTATTGTGCAATTAATTCTCAATGAACCTTTTTTATTTGAATCTTAAAGAGTCATTTGAAGAGTTTTTCTTGGATTGATGAAGTCTTTAGAGTAGAATCAGGTGATTTTTGAGTTTTAATTTTAATAGCTGATGGATCTGCTCTTCTTGTAATTGAGTAAAGATGAATTTATTGATCTCTGATTGAATTTAATTATAATTTATTTACAATGGGATTTGATGTATATCGAGGAGATCAACATCAACGACTTCATGAATACCGGAGCACTTTATTTCTTTCTGTTTTCGTATTTATTACATTTTAGGGTGCAACGGGACGAGTCGGTATCCGAGGCTTTCCGGGACGACGCGTGAGTTTATACTGATGATGTGGTGTTTTTCTTTTTGTACTCATTCTTTTGTTGCATATTTAAAGGGTTAACTTGGGTTGCGGAGAATTTTCAACAACTAACTCAGACTAACGATACGTAGATCATCCTGGAGTTCACTGTTTCAAATTTTCTTGATTCCCTCAATTTTTAAAAATCATTATCACCAGAAATTTTGGGGGTAGCTCAACCAAAAATTTGGAACAGTGTCGCTTGTTTATTAATAATTCCACTGTTCCCACGTCGTATGAGCTTGGAGACTGGTGATTTTTTTTTTGAAGGGCACTTCTGAAATCCTCGAGGGCCTCTAATACGTTGTTAATAGACTATGGACTCCCCTGTGAATTGACCAATCAATTTCCACACCAAAGTAATCTCTTTCCCACCCCTTGTGATTCATCTTTGTGGTCAACTGTTCGTTGAAGATTATTTATTATTATTATTCTCGTCAACAGGGTGACAAGGGCGACAAGGGTGAGAGAGGCTTCACGACGTCACTGGATGGAAAGCAAATTCCTCTGGGGAGTTTCGAGGGACCACCGGGTCCCCCAGGACCTCCAGGTAAGCCAATCCCTTATTTCCCATTGTCTTCTCGAAAATATACTCTTCGGTAATCACTTTTCGGCTACTCCATCACGCATTCAGAAATATTTATACTTTCATTCATCCTGATTTTCATAATTTAAAAAATTGTCTGTCCTAAACTCGTGAAAATTTTTGGATCAATCACTAAATTATCTGGATTTTTAATCATATCATATGAATTCAATTTTGAGTTATTTTGAGAATTCAGGAAAGTTCATGTTGAATCAGGAATTTTTTAATGAAATTTTTTATTTTCGTGCTCATCACGAAAATTCAACTTCAAATATAATTGAGCACTCGGTAAATTGGAAATCCAGACAAATTATTGCGGGAATATCCATCATGTTGACGAGTCCATGAAATATTGACTGATTCATCAAATTTCAAGTGTAATTTTCCAATAGTCAATCCACTACAGGATATTGGCCACCGGGATGAATTATTCTATAAATTTTTCTCTGTGCAACTACAAAAAAAGCTCTTCACCTTTTCACTCAACGAATTCCGACTGCTGCTTTCTTAAGGCTGATGTCGTGTAGAATTCACTCGACAATTTTTGTTTAAATTTTTATAACGAATAGTTTAAAGAACTACCAGCAAAATAATCACTTTCTGATTGAGATTGTGCATTTCAAACTTGAGATATAATTTTGGAAAATTGAAAACAGTTCCCGGCGTGTCTTACAATTGTTTAAAAATCTCCTATCCGATACTTTTTTAAATAAAAATTCATAGGGGTAGAATCCGCAAAATTGAATAACCCCCCAAAAAATTGGGTCAATTGTGCGTTTCGCTTTCGAGTAATAATTACAGAAATCGGTAAATTTCCATAATTGAAAATAATTAAAACGGTAAATATATAGTTATTAGTTATACATAATTCTACTGTACACGCAATGGAATCAATTAAGTAAGACTATTAAAATACTGTGAGGATAGTTTAATCTGGGGCATTTTACCGGGCATAAACTTTTAACAGAGAATCGTGCGACAACAGCTTTAAAAAATTCCGTACACGCTGAGTTCCCCAGAAAGTAAAACAGAAAAATAGAAAAAACTTGGCCGAGACTTTTGACTCTGGGAGAAACTCCAGTGTCGATTATCGTGGCTTTCGTCTCCGCTCACGTATTCCCACCAATTAGAACTTTGTCCAATTGTAACTTTTAGATTGCACCCAGTGGACTTGTCCGTCTTCCGTTATACTCTTGGCTCGACCTCCTCATATCTGCCTAACACTTTTTTTTATTCCTCTATACCCCGATAAAACCTGCACCCGATCAATGCCGATACGACGGCGCATCGAGAGGGAAAAAAATGTCATTTCTCCATCTCATTCTCCTCTCGTGTCTGGTCCACAGTTTTTTTTTCTATCGATTCCGGTAGCTCCATTGTCCCCCCGATCTTTTGTATTTTGAATCGAGGGGAAGAACTGAAAGACTAATGCTAATAATAATTGCGAAAGAAACTGACAAGGATGAGAACAGATGAAAATACTGGAGATGATCCCCCAGAAGACGAGAGGGAATATAAATCCCATGCAAATCTCTCTCCCTTCACTCTCTACTCCAACTTTCTGTCCTCAATTCACGAGAACATTTTTTATAAATCTTTTGCTTTGAAATAATCCATTTTCTCATCGCTATCGAATCATCTGAGGGGCGTCTGACATTCGTTAAGATTCTCTGATTATTTCTCATTGAATGTAATCCCGTGTAACAGGACCTCAGGGAGAAAAGGGCGATCTAGGTCCCACAGGTCCAACAGGACCAACTGGTGAAAAAGGCACACGGGGTAAACATGGCAAGAGGGTAAGCTTCAGCGAGGTCCTCCGAATAAAATCGTCAACATCAGCATTACCAAACTCCAATCTCTCCAAAATTCAATGCTTTATCCCTCAAGTCCCCTGTTCATCCCAGTTTTACGATGAGATAAGGAATGCCATATTCATCCTGAATTTTTCATTAGGAAATACCTTCGAGTCATTGGCTACAATATTCATTTAAATTCCGAGGAAATTCCCAACGAATTGTTCCAACCGCTTCCATAATTATTCACAACAGCCATTGACTCGAAAATCCACTCGAAAATCCCTCGAAAATTCATCTTCAATAATTTTTCTAAATAAAATTCACCAGTTTGATTTTGTTTAAATTTATTTAAACAGGATGAACAGCTCCTCAAACCTATTCCAAAAAATCCTGTTGAGGAATTTTTACTGAATTCCACAGGGAGAAAAAAAGTCTGTTAAAAAAATTTTACATAAAAAATTACTGTCGCTCAGTAAAATTTATGGATTGGTCTGCAAATATTTTTATTTGCAAAAGAAATTCAAGTGCTGGCACAGTAATATTTCGAATAATTTCATGTTTAAAGGCCGGATGGAGTATCTCAAAAAGATAATTTACTCCAAAATTAGGATTTTCAAAAAGATAATTTACTCCAAAATTAGGATTTCTAATTACTCCGCCAATTAATTGTTTTTTCCGATAATTGTTAGCTATCGCTCTAGTCGTCGACAACCGCTAGAACGCTAGCTACCAATTATTGAAAAAAAATACGATTAATTGCCAGAGTAATTAGGAGTTATTTTGGAGTAAATGATCTTTTCCAGATTATCTAACCGGTCCTTAAATGATAAAGCCGATATTTTTGTGGTGCTCAGTATATTCAGTAAAAAATTTGAAACAGTGAGGCATGAGTATTTTAATGAATAATTCGCATGAGTGCATGTGCCAGAGAATGCGCATGTCGACAATTTGATAGAACCGATATGGACCGACGTGCGTCGCAAGCAGCTTCCGAGCACGAAATGAGACGACTTTTATCACTTACGATACGTCCGGATGCATGGGTTCAGACGGATATCAAAAATGTTCAATATCATGTACCGTTCCCTCATCAATGGTGAGGCAGCAAGGGTGACATGAGCCTTGGCATCTGATTTTTTTATCAAATAAATAAAAATAGAGAGTAAAAAACACCCGCCGAATGGCTTCTTCACATTCCATCGAGACGAGAAAAAATAAATAAAATAACAAACGTCAAAAGCTGACAACAAAATAATAAACCTGTACTCACCCTGGAAAATAGGAGAATCCAGTTGTAATAATTAATTCCATTATTCTAATTATTCATAGTGAATAGTTGTGGTGGTGGTAATGATGATCATCAGCCGAGGGAGCAGCATCCGGTGATTCGAGTCTCACAGACCGCCTTTTGTCCAAATTAAACGATCATCATGAGTAATAAATAAAAAGTCGAGTGCAGAGTCATAAACTTTCATCACTGGATGCTGCACTATGAATTCTCGAATGAGACGAGAAAATCAGTGGAGAAAATTATTTTTAGTCCACTGGTAGCTGTGATCATCATCATTCAGAATAGTTGTGGTGCCAGTTAACACATGGACCTAGACTCTCGTTATAATGACAGAGTACACATTAATTAGTAGGGAGTAGTTGTTAGCCTGTAACTAATGTGTGTTTATGTAGCGAGTAACCCCTCCATTTCTTCGTATCGAGGGCTACAATCCACTAATAACTAATCAAAAGGTACGAGGAATTGACCACGAATTTATCATTTTATTTAGCGAATGGCCGTAAGTATCTATTACTTGATTTAATGATTTTAATTTAACCCCTTGTTTGATTAATCCAGAATTCTGGGTGTATCAGTATTAATTAATCTTTTGTTTCGCTGGTTGTGTAGATCTGTGTGTTTTACCATTATCTTTACTCATCCATTCCTCAAACACTCATTTTCACTCGTTGTTCAAATCCCTTTCCCTCGTTCATGCAATCTCATTAATTCCTATATATTCCTGGAATTCTGCGCAACTCAAACACAGAATTATCGAGATTTTGCAAACAGCGGAGTTTAAACTTTACTAGAGGGATATTCCGGCTTTTTTTTTTGTCTCGCATTTTGTTTCAAGTAAAAATTAAACTGCCAGTTTAAAAAATATTATTCAACGTTGAAGTTGAATAGATCAATTTTTAGTTCTGCGTACGATCGAAATATTCGGGATATCCCGATTTTTTCGAGGAATATACGAAAAATATATTAAAAGAGTCAATTTATCTCATTTTCCAAAATCTATTTGAAAATTGTTTTTAATTCTTGATTTATCTCGGAATCTATTGATTTTTCAGAAAAACTATAAAGGACTTTTTTCTTGCTGATTAAATTCATGAAAGAAAAGTTCTTTTGATGTTTTCCTCTAAAATCGATAGTTTTCGAGGTGCGGAAGGCGAGAGAGAAAAATAAAACGCGTATTTTTTCTCTTGCAAACAGAATATATTAAATATATAATTTCCCTCTAGAATCAGTCTCTTATAATATATTAAAATATATATTCTCTCGTGCAGATGAAATCTGAACCCAACTAACATAAACTAATGAATTGTTTGTGGAGTAAAAATTAAACAAACCCGAGTGAAAATAAAAAGTTAAATCCAGAGGACCTGGCTGAATCTGAACTTTTGAGTGTCTCGTTTGTAGGGTATCAATGGAGATTGCCGTTGTACGAGAGCGGTAGGCCAACCCGGTGCCAAGGGTGATCCGGGGGTGAGAGGCGCAGAGGGTCCACCAGGTAGACTCCATAATTCACAAAAAGCATAGAGCAAAAACAGATTAAGCAACAGCGATAACCAATCCCCAGGATCCCGAGTTTCCCCTAACAACGAGCCCTCCATATTTTTTTAAAACTCTGGTATTCCCCCCCTGATTTTTGGAGTACGGTCAGTGGTTAATATTCAGGTTCTCGAGGATACCAAGACGCTTTTGGGAGGTGCTATACTCCCAGCGGGGTATTTTAACGCCTCGGATATTTCTGGCTTGAGGTGGCACTCTGGAGACCAGTCCTGTTCAATTATCTGTTTCCCTATTTTCAGGACCTAAAGGCGATTCTGGGGCGCAAGGATTACCAGGAGTCGATGGAGTCAATGGGGAGCATGGGATTCAGGGTCCACCAGGACAACCGGTAAGATCTGTAATAACTCACTCTAAAATAAAAGTCTAAATAAAATTAAATCCAAAATATTTCAATAAATTTTTTCAAATAATTATACTACATACGTTGCCTCAATTGAAATTATTAATTAACAATTGTTAAAAATATCCCCATATGTAAGAACAATTCATTTTTATGTACATCAGAGCAATTCGTGCTGATAACACCAGTTTTTCAATATTTTTCAGAAAAATCAAATGGATTTATGAATTTTTTCTATCGAGAATGTCTGGTATTTTTTTCTCTTCGCTTGAAAAAAAAATTGAAGTAATGAAGCAATGATTTGCAGAAAATGAAAGTAGATGAAAAGACAAGAGGAATGTTTAAATAATTTTTAATCAAGATGTGATTAAATGGTTTTGATGACTTGCAGGGCCTGTCAGGACCTAAAGGGGAGAAAGGAGAATACGGAGACATTGGACCCCCAGGGCTTATGGGCCCCCCCGGTTTACCAGGACCTCCGGTATGTATAACACGTGACACATCCCTAATTGAGTGGATTGCCAACAGTTAGAGATGTGAGCTAAATGCTTTTACGTTGCAGGGAGCACCGGGTCTCAGGGGAGAAAAAGGAGAGAAGGGAGAATCGGTGAGTTATTCAATTTCACGAGGTACTCGAGACCTAGGAGGACGAAGCCCATTGATTTTTCATTGTTTCATTCATTCGGTATAAAATAAATTTACTCTCTACCTTTTAAAATCATGTACTCCACTTTAGACGAAATATCTCACTCTATTTTCTCATTACTCTCCATTTATTCTCTATTTAATCTTGTCTTTACCAGCGCAATTTAACAAACGACTTTCCGATTAGATATTCCTCTCATCTCGCAGTAAAAAAAGAAAAAATCAAATAAATTGTGACATTAGCATTAAACTCTCTCGTCCTCCTAGTGCAGCAGATAAGAATGACATTTTAATTTGTTTCAAATGCAAATGATTATTTTCATGAATGGCCAACTGCGCAGAAGTACAAAAAGTTGAGGAGAAGACAGGTGAGTGATTTCTGGAATTATTTAAAACCCTCAACTTGTTGAAGTAATCAGAGGGGTGGTAATTAGAGCCTCTTTGTAATTCACGCCTTGGAATTTTATTACAGGGTGATGGAACGTTTGAAGTCAATGCTGGAGAAGTGGTGAGTGTCGAATACCATGGATAAACTGGTGATTGTTTTTCGTTGGTGAGAGTTTTGTTTGAATTCTTGGATTTGTTTCACAGATAATGGGACCACCTGGTCCACCAGGTCCACCTGGATCCGCAGGATTACAAGGACCACCCGGTATTAAGGGTGACAGAGGACACGATGGTGCCAAAGGCGAACCCGTCAGTATTAATTCCTCCCAAAATTTCATTTTTCCATCAATTTAAAAAAATATTCACCATTTAATATCTCCAATTTTTTATAGAAGCATTCAATCAACTCTATACATTTAACTCAGAATTTCGAGTTGTTTTCAATCTACCCAATTGTTTGAAGAGCATTTGAAATTCTCAAGTGCCCCAGATATTTCCACCCCCTCAATGACAAAATCACAAAATTCAACTTTTTTTTCTCTCCCACGGGAATTCATTCCTCGGAGTATGAATAATTGAACACGAGGAAAAATCAGAAATACGAGGAGAAACAACAGTCAAGAAATTAATGTAAACTTTAGAAAAAAAAAGTAGATTAAAATAAACATGAGTCTGAATAAAATACAAGACCAGAGTGTACAGTGAAAAAGTTGGCTAAAAACATGGGGATAAAAAGAAGAGATCGAGGTATCAAAACGAATTACTAATGTCTGGTTGTTCAATGTTTCAGGGTGAGAAAGGGAGCAAGGGAGATCCAGGTCCAATGGGACTGCCTGTAAGTAGAAACTCACGTTTCCAAATAAACCCCTGAAACTTTGATTGACACTCATTCCCTCACTCCCCCATCTGTTCACTTCTTATTCCCCCAATTGTTTAAGGAGCAAGAGGATTGATAGTGAATTTAATCCCAAGGAATTGTTGTTTCAGGGACCAATGGGCCTGAGAGGAGAGTCTGGTCGACCGGGTGACTCTGGTAAACCCGGTGCCTCGGTAAGAAAGCGAGCCTCTCGCTCCTAACGATCCTACAATTAATTAATACCCGTCATCACTCAATTGTCGAATTTATACCCCTTCGTCGATATATCACTGCCTCGCTGATAAATCCACCCATAAGCTCTTTCATCCAACTAAAAATCCCACGTTTCCCCGAGTTTAATATCCTGGCTGTAATTGGGAGTAGAAGAATTTAATAGTTTTATCAAAATGAGAGTATCCAAAAAACTAATTTTTCATCACCAGTAAACATCAATATTTCAGAACCCTTCGCCTTGAATTTAATTTTACCCTGAAATATTTATAAATTTGAGTTTTAAATTATATTATGAAAATCGGATAATCGAGTTATAATTCTAATTAATTATATTGCAATAAGAAAATTCTTGAATGGATTTGGGGGATTATTTTTTGGAAAAATGAACTTGAAATGATTATCTCATAGTCTTTGGATACTCTCATCCCTTGAATTATCGATTTCAACCCCGAAATTTAACCCAGACAACGCCTTAACAGCAGGTTGGCCCATGGTGATCCGCTAACAACTAACACGGGGATAGATCTTCTCCACCACCACCAGGCCACCACCTTGAAATGGGATAACCGACAATAACCCATCTAACAAGTGCACGATTATTAGTCAACCAAAAGAATTACAGCACTAATATTTAAAAAAAAAGAAAACAAAACAAGAGACCCAAGTACTTAAAAGCAGAAAGGGCCCTTGATGACCCACCAGTAGATCAAAAATAATTGGATACTCGATCATCACAAACCGATAAATGAGATATTTATGGACTTGTGACACAGAAGACAGTTATCCCCCTCCCTGAATATTGTACCATCGACAAACCCCTCTCAAAGAGAGAATCATATTATGTAAAAAAATAAGCGTCACCCCGTGGACGCGTGCATATAAATATATATTTATATATATTTTGTCACTGGATTAAGCCTCGGTATCGTGCAGTTACCGGTGCACAAAATCTTTTCCAATTAAGAAGCTATTGAGTACCGATAATTGAACGTAATTCATATTTGCCAACAGACTTTCATACCAAAAATGAGTAAAAAAAATTAACAAAAAAAGAGAATTAATAATGATAAATGATTCTAAGAGGCCCCCATATGAAATGTGGGCCCTGCGGTGCTCTCATTGTCAAAAAGCTGCCGATAAAATTTCAATTAAACAACTACCAAAAGCTCACTTTCTAACTTTATTCCTAAATGTCTGTATATCTATCTCTTCTTGTTCTACTTGTATTCTATGAAAAAATACATTATTTCGAAATGTTCGACGATAACGTCAAGTTACGTGATGTGATCTGATGGTCAATGACACCGATGTATGTCAAAAAAAAATATGTATAATGTATACCTCCAATTTTCAATTCTTTTGACTCCATGAAAATACAAACTATATGTCCTCTCTGAGATATAAGAGCGAGTGTATCATATTATATTATAAAGAAAAAGGTGAAAACGTAAAAAAAAAGTTGATGTTATTTCTGAACGAATGAGGATATTTCAAGAATTTCTCTTATCTCTTTTCAATTTTCGAATCAATTAATAAATTCCATAATATTCTAGAAAAATTGAATAACATTCGTGGAATATTATTTATTTTTTTGAATAGTCAATTTATTCAAGGCAATAATGATGAATCTATTTTAGTCTTGATTTTAAATTCAATTGTAATGAATAGAGAGACAAAAAATCATGGAATATGCCCATTTGTCCCATTCGTGGTGATGTCCACTGGTTAATGATTGATGATAATATTTTCAGTGTTGATGATTAGCCAGTGGGAATTCAATGGATGAAAGGGAATCCAACGACGAATGTAACGAGTCAACGTCCAGGGAGAAATAAATAATGCACCTTGTAAATAAACCATACGCAGCCTAGAGAAAAAAACACCTCGACATTGCGGGGCTATTTAGATAGATATGAAATGAAATTTGTTTCGAATCGAATTGACTAGTATAAATTGAACGGAGTTGAAAGGACATATTCAATGAAATTGGTAGTACCTCCTGAGGACTGCTGACTCGATGTTCGAGCGTTTGGAAAATTGAGCGCAATCAAGAAAACTATTCATCGAGATCTCGTTTATTTCTCCTTTCCTTATTTTTTCCCCAGATTTATAGTTGATTGAGGGAAAAAAAAAATTAATGAGAAGTATAAATAATTATACATTGATTGTATAACATCGTGTGCGATGGAAAAGTGAGAGGGAAAAAAAAAAAATATGGCCTACGATTCGCTTATATTGTCACTCAGTACTCAAGTTGTAATTGCTAGTAATTCGATATAAGAGACTCCAGTGAGATTGTATGTAAAATTGAAAGTGAAATCGCCCAGACTCGTATGAATTTTTATTGTGGTATGAGAGTTTTTCCTCATTATTTTTTTATTTTCATTTGAGATACGGAAATTCATCGACAAACCAATGCCTCAGCGAGACCTACTATTTCCCCTCCAACAATTGTTCATTATTTACAACTGTAATTATAATTATCAATGGATGAACAAAGACTTACGCTGGCGTACTCGATGAGGCTAGAGTAATTAATCCACAAGTATGCGCGATTGCAATTATGTTAGTTGTACTTTTATATATAGACTAGACTAAAATCGTTTTAGCATTAAGATTTTTTGGCAGAAAAGATAAAAACTAATTATTTGAGATTAAAGACGAATGAAGATAAAACAACAACAACACATTAAACACGCACACTCGACTACAAATGCGTCACACACTCGAGATTAATGTACTCACAATTGCGTTCTCCTGCTAAGTGCGGAGAAAAAAAAAAAGTAAAATGAAAATTGTTTGGAAACTAATGTTAAACCCAAAAGAGTCTAAAGACGAGTCTCTGATGTCTCTATTGAACATTAATATTAAGCGTAACATGACATTTGTTAATCGACAGAGAGGAGAGTAAAAAAAAACGATGGCAATTATTGCCGCGTTATAAAAAATACCAAACAGCCAAAATCGATGAAATTTGAAGAATTGTTTCATAATGTCCTGATTAATAAACAGAATGTGCATGTGCCTGTTGCCAATTTGCTTACTACTAAACCGATAAATTCCTGTTATCTCCCGAATTTGTTCTGCATTTTGTTGACTCCCAATCGATACAACACAATAATTTAACAATTGATATTGATTACCCGCGTGCAAATTAACAAATAGCATTGAGGAATCTTGTCTCTTCACTGGCCTGATCATTTGTTCCTCTTAGACACGTGAAATTTTCGTAATTTCACTGTTAATCAGATGATTATGGAACAAAGGGGACTGATAATGAGAGCCTAATGCAGCATCATTTCACTCTATCATTGTGCGTCAGCTGTGCATAGTGTGCGCTCGTCGGTCGTTTAAATATTTTCCTTTATTAATAATTACTCTGACGAGGACATCGTATTTATCATAAACATTTATTTCCATGTAATCTGTCTACTTCCACTTGTTCGACTCCTTTCAGGGACCACCGGGATTAGACGGCATGAAGGTAAGTTTATAAACAATACAAATCAGATAAATTAATCCATTCAATCGATTAATTATCGGTTTTATCAGGGAGCCCAGGGTGAGACAGGGACTAAAGGGGAGAGAGGGGATCCAGGACTACCGGTGAGTCTAAAAATCATTTCAATATATATTTCAAATATATTTATCAATATATTTATTAAAATGGGGAATTACTCTTTCATTGAAAATCGTATAGTTGCTTTATGATTACTAGTTGCCATTAAAATTTTTTTTAATTGATAAACTAATTGAATTCTAATTAATATCGACGACTCGGGTTCAGATATGAAATTTAAAAAATTATTTAATTATTTAACACGAACACACTAGCGCTCAATCGGCCATAAAATTTAAATAATTTATTACATTCACCCACTTCTCGCATCATATTCTCTAACTATATTCAGTCAAAAGCAAAAACACCACTAATTACTTCCAGAAAAATGGTTTATTCGAATGAAATAAAAATCTCGGATTCAATTGACTGATGTAAGATGAAAATTAATTATTAATAAAGTAATAATGGAGGGAGCGAATACTTGCTGATTGAAATAATTAATCCGAGGAGAGTAGACCATTTTTATATTGATAAAATCATAAATAAATCATAGCAGTAGCTGTCGTTGAATTGAATGGATTCCAAGGTATTGATACAATTTTAATTATCTCCCCCAGGGTACCGACGGGATTCCTGGTGCACAGGTATTGCTTTCACACCAAGTCAACCCCGAAAATACCCCATAAACCCCTCCCAACCCCCTGAATATCCTAATAAAACTTTCACAGTCTCTTCGAGTCATTACCAGAGTGAGTTGAAACTAACTCTCGCTTGTCTGCTCACTAACTGTCCATTCCCCTTAACTCCCACATAAACCCACCCCCTATCCAACCCCTGATTCTACTATTCCAAATGCCCGTTTGTCTTCCATGTACGATTATTCTCACCATCCTTACACCTAAACCCCTAAAACCTTGTGCTGGCGGATATCCGGCGCCTCCTCCATTCCAACAATTTCACACTTCCTTGGCGATTAATCACTCCTGCAATGTGACCGTATTACAGGGCTCCAAAGGCGACAAAGGTGCCCCAGGCGATACCGTGAGTACACTAAACACACCAAGTTTTCATAATTTTCCCTCAAGTACCCCCTACTCATTCCCTCCAACACCCCCTGTCTCGTTATTAAGTGCGTTGAATTTGCCAAAGCCGAGTTAGACGAGAATTCATCGGCTCTTCATTATTATTCTGGGGTTATTATTATCTCCGGTGGGGAACTTGTGTCTCGGGGATGTTTTACCGAGATAATTACATTTTTGGAAAATTTCACGGTTTAAACAGCGAATTTTTAACAGCCAGTGGAAACGTATGATCAAACGAATTTACCGTACTCATTAATTATGGATTTATCTCGGTAACTATCGGCTCAACGGGGAAACATCAGAGGACTATTTTTCTAGGTCATTAAATTTCCAATAAAAAAGTTTTTAGGACATTTTTACCTGAAATCGATAGTTTCGTTGTTTATTGATGTTTAAAAAAAATTCAGGACTCGCGTTACACACACTAAAGTATTTTCAATATTTATATTTGCAATTAAAATAATAAAAATAATGGAAATAATGAAAAAAATGAAAAAAATGAAAAACATGATTGAAAGTTCAATGAACCGTTCCCGCGAAATTAATTCACTCCAGAGAATAATCATTTTTAACCCGAGAGAATAATTCTTCCTGAAATTGAAGTCGAAGCTGTAATAATTATGAAAATTATAATTATTCTTTTCCGCGCAATAACTTCAAGTAGATTAAACAATATAATTCCCCGAATAATAAAAGTAATTGATCTTTACCCCGCGTTCTTGCCGTCTCCAGAGTAAAAAAAAAAAGAGAAGACGAAGCTAGATCAGTGCCACCAGCATTCACCCAGAACAATGGGAGGGTTGCAACCCCTAGCCACCGCTTCTACCCCAAAACCCCTAAAAACACCCTCCTATTATTTCTCCCCCATCCCCTCCACCCAGTGGACCTTTGCCAAGGGGTCACCCCTTTCGCGCAAAAACCACTGCTTTAATTAACGAGAAAATTAAATAAAAAAAAAAAAAAATACGAGGAAGCAGTAGAGCGAGCAAAATTTCCAAAGACTCACACACATTCCATCGAGTCTGGAATACTGTTCATGTAATTTAGGCTCACGACGAGACGAGAGCGCAATGCACTTGAAAAATTTACTCTCACAATGTTTTTTTTTTTTATTTATTTTTTTCTATCATCACATTCAACTATTGCTTGGCCTAATTGCACGCGGTGAAGATCAAAGAAAATTTTTATTTTGTTCTGCTTTTATCACGAGAAAATGGTCAGACAAAGGGTGAAGGAATTTATGGATTTATTGCTGGTGGTTATTGCAGGGTGCCCCAGGTAAAAAGGGAAAGAGGGGCGATAAGGGGAGTAAAGGTGATCAGGGTGTGCCTGGATTGGATGCACCTTGTCCTCTGGGTGCTGATGGCCTGCCACTTGCTGGATGCGGCTGGCGAGCACCACAGGTACATTTATTTTATCATTTAAGACGGCAATCATCATTTTCACGTCGAATAAAGAAATTATTAATGATAATTTTATAAACACCGCATTCCTCAGGCTGAAGATCATTTATTTAATTGTTTTTGTCGATTACTACTTTGACTTTGCGGAATTGTAGATTTGCCAAACCTAAACTGTTATAAATCTCTTGAAATTTCAGTTACAGTCGTCTGAATTTTCAATTATATGAGTATCAATTGAATTTAAACTGAAAACTCTCAATAAATTTCTTGTTTATCTTGAAAATCCTAAAAAGTTTGAATTTTCGTGCTCATGAATATCCAAAAAATCAAATGATTCATCTAAAAATTGTTAAAAATTTCAAGTTTTGTTTCCAACAGTGTAGCTGCATGTTTTTTTAATCGAAATGACTAATACAAAATTAGAGGCAAATGTTTAATATTATTAACGCTTAGATGATGATTAATATTCATAATTCGGTGGTTTTTGGTGTAATTTTTTGCTTGGGGTACGAAACAATTGGGATATTTGGTTAACAGGACTTGAGTACACCGAATCCATCGAACGAGGGACCAGAGCCAGCAGAAACAGATTATGAAGAGCAAGAGGAAGAGGATTACGAGGAGGAGTACACGGACCCCAGTGGCAACATGGCTGAGAAATAGCAACACTAACGAGACGTTACACCGGTTACATCCGTTTTCTATATGGTTGAATATCAGAAGCAACCAATCTATCTTAGCCCCTATTTTCAAAACGTGCACATACGTTTTAATGGAATGTACCAAAACCACTTGAACCCAACGCTTTTATCGTTGAATTTGATGCTGTCCCAGAACTAACTGACCCACCCGGTAATTTCGGCTTATTTAATAAAGGGGTTATTTGCGGTGAAAATTTGCATGGAGTTTGTGGAGCTGAAAAAATTTTTCATTTTATCAACCGCAATCCGGGGAAAACGACTTTTTTTTGAGAAAAATAAACAGCATTGAATAATAAAAAAAACACACAACGAAGTCGAAATCGTTGGGAGCTCGACAGCTGACCGAATTTCAGGGATTTTCAATATTTACAAATTCATGTTGAATTCTGAATAATTTAACGGTGGGAAACTACAGTGCGGCTTGCAGTTCACTCCAACTTGAGTTTATCCCGATGTTTCAGGGAGAGGATAAATTTTGAAGTGAACGAGAAATTCAAACTAAACTGCCAGGATTTTGTCTGAGGGATTCCCTCGATAAAAAAAGAAGCTCATCCACTGAATCTCGAATTTCGACTTCGTCGTGTGGAATTTTTAATAAAAAATCTGGAAAAAAAGGAATTGCTGAATTGCTGAAGTCAAATAAAAGAATTTTACTCATAAAAAGTCGAGTTATTCTGTTTAATCACTTCGGTAATGAGTGAAAAATGAGTAATCAAATGTTGTGATTAGTTGAACGAAATAAATGTTCCATTGACCCTCACCAAACTCCATTATGTGACTAATTAAGTCTCAATATGACATTTCAGTCCAGAATATTACGCGAGTGGTTACTCGAAGAGGAGGAGGAGGAGCAGTTGGATAATAACGAGGGTGTGTCAGTAATGCGTTCATCACGAGCCAATTGATGTCAATCAATTTATCTCCAAATTCAGCATCATCCCTCCCCCAGGAAGAAAACGGATGTTCAATCAATAGAGACCAGAGAAATACTAAATTTCCAACCAATAAAATGTCAAAACTAGTGAAAACGTATAACCAGTGAACTCTCAAAGGTTCTTGTCCAGTAAGTGTTGTAAATAAATGTACTTACAAGTGCCAAGCACCAAAAAAAAAAAAAACAAGTGTGAGTGCGTCAGTCGTCCGTGTGTGTCAATGTAAATAATATATAAATATTTATACAACGCATAGTTCAACTATAAACACAAACATGTGAAATGCTTGTGGTAGTTTTAATCAATTTCACGTCGATCCGATTATTCTGGAGAGATAACAGTTAACGTTTGATTATTGTACGTCAATTGCCAATGCAGAATGATTTTTAATATTATTTATGTATTAAATATAATGAGTCTATTATGCATCGTATTGATATCTCCATTATTTTCCCGATTGCTGAGTATTTGGTGGGGAGTCGATGGATAGAAATCACTCACCTCAGGTGTTATTTGAAAATTTTTTAATGGAATTAGAGGGTCTGTCAGTTTTTGAACAGTTTGAATTTCTTGAAGTATCTCTGAACTTCCTCCTTCGGGTACGGCTTGACAACCAGACACGTTGGCATGTTCTCAGGTTGTTCTATCCACAGTTTATGATCTATTTTGGATTCCTGGAGCTTCATATGGAGATCATTGAGGCTTTTGTCATCTGGGGCCTGCAACAAACGGAGTTATCATTTTTTTCATTCCCTGAATGTGTAATTTTCTCAAAGAAATGAATATTAAAACACAGAGTGGTAAATATTAAAATGGAAATAAAATGGAAATGAGATGGCATTGATTTTGTGAGGCTGAAATTCAGGATCGATTTTGAATAATTACCTCCAAGACGACTTTATGCATATTATCGAGGTCAGCTAGATAATCTCGGGTGTGGGGATCGTTATAGAATAGATGAGTAACAGCTGTGCAGGCATGACAGGCCTGAGCTATGACAGCACCCACTGGCCACTGCATACTCTTCATCAAATCTCCGCGAACAATGACGTATTGAACAATCCCCGACATTATTCCCCGAAAATACAACAATGTTTAATTAATATATATCCCCAGTCTTTTGTCCGTCCACTTGAGGTTATGATCACCTGATTTTCATCACCAACTGCAAGGGAAATAAACAACTGTCACCCCCACAATGAAAATTCACGACTGAACTCAATTCTCTTGAATTAATAATCAATAATCTTCAATTAATAATCCAGTAATTATAACTTTTATGGCTGCGCAGAGTGTTGTTGATAAATCGGCGCCTTTTTTTGTAAAATGGATAAATGTTCAACCACCTCCTCACGCATGCGCAGATGTATTCGGAAAATTAATTTATATTATGAATTCAAAAATGAATTTAAAAAAGTTTTGAGTTATCTTAATATTATCTATGGAGTGAATATGTGGGATTAATCTTCTTTATTGTTTTTAATTATTAATAATTGTTTATTATCTTCCGCGCACTTTTAGCCCCCGAGGATAACTCCTTCAATCCATTTATCTGTTGACATTTCCCTTTTTATCGTTTGATGCTCACGAGATGTCCGCCATCTTGATTTGACGTCAGCTGCGGCACTTGCACGCATGCGCACATGTGCTCTCTCCGCGGTATAAACCAAAGAGGATTGACGGAAGTAGAGGCTCAGTTCTGGGGGTGTAAGTGTCCCCAGAGGCATCGTGGTACTGCACCCCAAGAGAGGGAGGGCGCCACAACCAAAGTATCAGAGGAGCATAAAAATGGAGGAAGTATTCACTGAAATTTGAAATTTCGAAATTTTGCGAAAAGTATCAGGGGAGCATGAAAATCGAGGCGGTATTCACTGAAATTGAAAAATTTGAAAATTTCAAAAAAGTATCAGGGGAGCATGAGAATCGAGGAGGTATTCACTGAAATTTGAAAATTCGAAATTATTAGAAAAGTATCAGGAGAGCATGAAAATCGAGGAGGTATTCACTGAAATTGAAAAATTAAAAATTTTCAAAAAAATATCACGGGAGCATGAAAGTCGAAGAGGTATTCACTGAAATTGAAAAATTTGAAAATTTCAAAAAAGTATTAGTGGAGCATGAGAATCGAGGAGGTATTCACTGAAATATGAAAATTTTTCAAAAGTATCAGGGGAGCATGAAAATCGAAGAGGTATTCACTGAAATTGAAAAATTTAAAATTTTCAGAAAATAAAATTCACCTAGTCGTTTGATCCCTCTGACAGCGGGACTGCTACTGAGGCGCATGGACGGTGTGCGTGCGTATGCACGGAGTATCGCCGGGGGACCCCCCACTCGAGCGGTCTTCTGTGCGCACGCGGGGTGTTCTGTGCGCATGCGCGGAGTATCGCCGGGGGACCCCCCACTCGAGCGCCGTCTCCAACGCCCTGCCATTTTCAGTGGGGAGTCAGTCGTTCCGCGACCGCGCGTGGAACGGTTGGTCGCGCGTCGCGTAGTTAAAATTCGTTACCATCGGGGTCCTAGTGAGTGCATAAAACCGGCGCTGCCTGTAAACATTGAAAATACAAAGTGCGGGACTCAGTGCAAGTGATTTTGTGAATTGTGACTAAAGTGACAGTGACTAAAGTGACAGTGCGAATTAGATTCGAAGGATTACTTTTCTCATTCATTTTATTTTGAATGATTAAAAATATTATTTGATCTTTGATATTATTTTATTGATCTTTGTGGATTTTTAGTTGTTAAAACATTCTTGGTTGTGT